GAACTGACTCAATGGCACTGAACAACAACAACAATGTATTGCAGAGTTTGTAACATATGTAGAAACAAAATTTATGACACTAACACAGAGGTTGAGGAGGCAGAAATAGGATATTTTTGTAAAATTCTTCCATTTTATAAATGCCACCAAGTCGGCTCCGACTCAGAGCAACCCTGTATAGGGTTTCCAAGGAGCAGCTGGTGAGTTTGAACTGCTGACCTTTTAGTTCAAACCGACCCTGTGGCCCAGTGCACTGCAACATTTGGACTCCTGGTGTGGTGCTGTAGGATCAGCACTAGATTTAGAACCACAAGGTCAGCAGTTCAAATCCACCAGCTGTTCCAAGGAGGCTTTAAATCTTTGCTGGAACAGAAAGCCTCATCTTTCTCCTGTGGAGAGGCTGGTGGGCTCAAATTGTGGACCTTGTAGTTCACAATTCAGTGCTTATCCTATAGAGCTACCACACTCCATATTTAAAGATATTTTTAAAACATATTACAACTACTTTTTAAAAATATGGACTCCTGATGTGGCACTGTGGGATCAGCACTGGACTTCAAACCACAAGGTTGGCAGTTCAAACCCACCAGCTGCTCCTCAGAAAGCCAACACAGGGTCGCTATAAGTTAGAACCCACTTGACGGCACTTAACAACAACAACAAATCAGTAATGGAGATAAATGAAATACTAGCAAGTGATGAAAAGTAACAAAGATGGGACAAATGGAAAACAAATAGCAGGATCATAGACTTAAACCAGTCATGTTGACAACTACATTATATATAAAACTATATGAAGGGGTGCAGGCTGGTGGCCCTACTATTCAGGAAAAGGACGTAAAGCAAACATCTATGTGCTTGAGGGCTTAAAAGACAAGCTGATTCATCGTTGAACCAGAGTTTGACAAGGATGGACGATAGTGGTTTCTGAGGGTTGGATGCCTGACGTTCTCTGAGCCAAATCTCAGGCTAGTGTCTAGTTAGACTATGGCAGAGGTAGGGTGTCTAAGCATCTCACCTGTATTGGGTATCTAGTGCTTCTATAACAGAAATACCACAAGTGGATGGCTTTAACAAGTAGACATTTATTCTCTCACAGTTCACGAGGGCAGAAGTCTGAATTCATGGCACCATCTCCAGGAGGTTTTTTTCTCTTTTGCTCAACTCTCAAGGGGGAGGTCCTTTTCATCAGTCTTCTCCTGATTTCATCCATGTTATGAGGTGTTTCTTGACTCATCATTATTCTTCAGTGTTGCATAATATTCCAGTGGGTGTATGTACCAAAGTGTGTTTATCCTTTCTTCTGTTGATGGACATTTTAGCCGTGTCCATCCTTACACTATTGTGAATAGTGCCGCAGTGAACCTGGGTGTGTATACATCTATTAGTATCATGACTCTCAAAGAGCTCTGCTAGTGTAGTGGTTATGAATCGGGCTGCTAACCTCAGGGTCAGCAGTTTGAAACTACCAGCTGTTCTGCAAGAGAAAGATGAGGCTTTCTGCTCCCGTAAAGATTTACAGCCTTGGAAACTCTGTACAGGGTCGCTATGAGTCGGAACCGACTCCATGGCATATAAACACCATCATGACTCTTATTTCTTGAGGATATATACCAAGTACAGGGATTTCTGGATCATACAATATGTCTGTTTCTAAATTTTTGAGAAAGTGCCATACCATTTTCCATGGTGGCTGCATTACCCACTAGCGATATAGGAAGGTCCCAGTCTCTCCATATCCTCACCAGCATTTGTTGCTAACAGAAAGGTTGAAAGTTTGAGTTCACCCAGACTTGCCTCTGAAGAAAGACCTGTCAAACTATATTAAAACTCAGCCATTGAAAACCCTATGGTGCACGGCTCTAGTTTGACACACATGGGGTCTCCAAGAATCCAAATCAACTCAGTGGGAACCAGTAAATCTGTACTCAGCCTCCAACTAAGGAAGAGATTCTTACCTTCATGGAGCGTTCCAGAGGAAGCAAAACATAACTGGAATAACAAAGACAATGAATCAGCTCTGAATTGTATCTGGAAAACAGGCCATGCTGACCTTAACCTTGAAAAGGATGTCAGAGCTCATGGAGGTAATGGGGTTTAGATTGGACCTGGCCATCTGGGTAGGACTTAGGTAAGTGGAGAGTTGTTGTTGTTGTTGTTGTTGTTATGTGCCATGGAGTCGGTTCCGACTCAAAGCGACCTTGTACAGGGTTTCTGAGGCTATAAATCTTTACTGGAGCAGAAAGCCTCGTCTTTCTCCCATGGAACCACTGGTAGTTTCGAACTGCTGACCGTGAGGTTAGAAGCCCGATTTGTAATCACTACGCTACCAGAGCTCCTTAAGTGGAGAGTAGAGGAAGGCATTTAACCAAGAGACAAATACATGCAGAAGCTGTTTGGTGGGACTGCATCTGAGGTGCTTGGAGGACAATGAAGAGACCCTGGGTTTGAGGCATTCATGGAAGGTAAAGATGGCTTGAAGAGCCTTGGATGCTGCCCACAGCCCCAAACACAGACCATGTGGATGCCACTTAGAGCTTCCCAGACTGCTTCATCGTGATGGAGGAATCTGCGCCTTTTTGCAAGAGCAGACATGTGTATGGCCCATTTCTTGTTTTGCTTTGTTTCAGTTTTTGCTCAAGTTGTAGGTCCATGTGTGCTCCTAATCCCCATCCCAGACAGACTGGAAGTTACATCTGCCAGACACATTACACGGTCATCCACATTCCTGCCAGACATTTGCTCAATGCCCGCTTTTAACCCTGCTCCACCCTGCAGCTGCTTTAAAGACCCAGCACGAATAAGCTGTTTAAATATGGTAGGGGTATGTCTGTGGTGAGGGGCAGTGAGGACTCAGAGTTGCAGATTCAGGTACAATGATGTGTGACAATTTATGAGATTACCACCCCACCCCAACACCAACCCAAGAGCTCTGGAATTCAAGAATTTCACTCACCATCACCAAGATGTGCTACTTACCTAAGGTTGTGGGTCGTGTGTCAGGAAGAGTTAGGCAATCTTCAAATCCCAGACAGGGCTACTAAGTGCAGGCAGGCAAGACTGGAATGTGTTTCCACTTACTAAAGTAAGTGAAAATCAAATTACTTGTAGACTGTCTGTTTGGTCACACATATAGAGGGATTGCGATGAGGAATGGAGCCTAAGTCAGGGAGAAGAGATAACGACAATGAGGATCATAGTTGTACTAAAACTCAACTGTTGTGGATTCCAACTCATAGCAACTCTCTCTATAAAACAGAATAGAACTGCTCCTCTGGCTCTGTGAGACTATAAATCTTCATGGCAGCAGACAGCCTCATCTTTCTTCCAAGAAGTGGCTGATGCAACCTTGTGGTTAGCAGTCCAATGCATAGGCCACTGTCCCACCAGGATTCCTTCATAGTTGTAATAGTATTAATACATTTAAGGAACCAGGATTAACCCTGTGCTTAATGTGTGCTAAATATTCTTCTAATTCTCACAATAGTCCTATGATGTGAACACTATTGTTATTCCCATTAGACAGATGAGAAAATTGAGGCGTAAGGGATGAGTTGCTTTATCAAAGTCCTACAGATAATAAGTGGTAGCATGAGGCTCTGAATCCCAGCAGCCTGACTCTAGAACCCACCCCATGAGAGCCAGTGATGCTCTGTTTGGGTATGGAAAGGAGGTCTTGCCTGTGGATGGATTTTGCTTGCTCTGGTTTCTCATTAAACAATGAGATTTAGTTTCCTATGTGGATCACATACAGGGAAAGAAGGCCATGATCTGCCAACATGGCAGCTGTATTTTTCATTAGTAAATTAACAAGCTGACAGCCTGGGTTCCACACACGAATCCATTTCTGAGGATTTAGCTAAGGGAAGCCCACCCCAGAGTTAAAGCCCACCATATGCCAACTTAATTGAGATTCCAAGTGTGCAAGGGTCAGCCCCCGGCCAGGGTGGGTGTGCCAAGGAAATCCCTGCTGGCTTCGTCTTGCAGACTTGGCCAGCCTTCCCCAGTGAGAGCCTGGCTCTTTGAATTCAAGCTGCCTGGCCAGACTGCAGGGTCATCTGCAAAAAGAAGGACAAAACAGTGCCAGGTTCCAATGTGTGTTCCAAATTCTATGTTCCATGCACAGACTCTGGGCGCCAGAGTGAGTGGAGGCAGACCCTTGGAGGGGACTGGTGAGATTCTGTCTGATATATTTTCCTTCTGCACACACCTAACCTGGGGATTCTTGGGTCTCACACTCTTTCTACTCCCAATGATGATGGCTCCAGAAGATGTAGACCAGTGACAGGGTTAGCTGGCAGCCTTTTAAATGTATGGATTCCCAGACTCTACCGGCAGAGATTCTGTGAGGCCTGAAAATCTGTATATCTTAAAGCCCCCCTGGGTGATTCAACAGTACATCTAAGGTTGGAAACTGTTGCCCAGTGAAAGGATGATCTACAGTCCTTCCCACTTCCCATCTCTCTCCAAGGCTCCATCTGCCTCCCACTACTCTGCCTCTTTATGTCCTTTGTGGACTCTTAAAACCCTCCACCTCCAGGCAGCCTTCCTGGAATGAATCCAGTCTGATCATGAATTTCTTACAAGTCTCCTCAGCCCCTCCCACACTCCATTTATGCATTAATTTGGCATTTCCATTCCATTTTCTTGATGTCTGATTCTTGGGCTATCACTGATCAAACAGCTTCTATACTCCGTCTGTCCTAACTACCTTATGATTACTGGAAGACAAAAAGGCAGAGTGTGTGTACAGGGATGAAACACCAGTGCCCTTGGCTGAAACATCTCAGCTGGACAATGAACTTTCCCTCTTTGCAACTTCATTTCCCTGTTTGTGAGGGTAGGTAGATGATGCCTTTGATCTTCCCCTTCAGGCTCTGATGCTCTCCTTCCTCCCCTGTGTACTTCACAGCTGAAGAAGAGGAACTACAAGCACACTCCTGAAACTTTGTCCTCAACCCCAGGACGAGAGGGTCTACCAGCTCTTCCCCGGAGCAGCCATGGCCCTGAGTGATCTCGATGTGCAGAAGCAGATTAAACACATGATGGCTTTCATTGAGCAGGAAGCCAATGAGAAGGCAGAAGAAATAGATGCCAAGGCTGAGGAAGAGTTCAACATCGAGAAAGGACGTCTTGTGCAGACCCAAAGACTGAAGATCATGGAGTATTATGAGAAGAAGGAGAAACAGATAGAGCAGCAGAAGAAAATCCAGATGTCTGCTGTGAGAAATCAGGCCAGGTTGGAAGTCCTGAAAGCCCGTGATGACCTCATCTCAGATTTGCTGAATGACGCCAAGCAGAGACTAAGCAGAATTGTGATAGATCTAGACATCTATCAGGACCTGTTGGACAAACTCGTGCTCCAGTGTCTGTTCCGAATGCTGGAGCCCTGGGTGCTGGTGCGCTGTAGACCGCAGGATGTCCTTCTGATAGAGTCTGCTGTGCAAAAAGCCATCCCTGACTACATGATGGTCTCCAAAAAAAATGTAGAAGTCTGTGTTGATCAAGAGGTTTACCTGCCTGTAAACTCAACTGGAGGTGTAGAGGCCTACAGTAACAATCAGAAAATCATGATTTCCAATACTCTGGACAGCCGACTAGATCTCTTAGCGCAGCAAAGGATGCCGGAAATACGAAAGGCCTTATTTGGAGCAAATGCCAACAGGAAGTTTTTTATATAAGTCCCTGAGACGTGTCACTCACATGAATGTGCTGAGACATTAAAGTATGTTATTTGGGCAAAGGAAGAGTCTTATGTACCACGTCTCTGATGTATCTTTCTTCACACAATGTTCTTTGCATAGTTAACAGAATTATAAAGTGTTAATTTTGGAATAAAGTCCCGATTAATGTTCAGAAATCGAATTCCAGCTTCTGGTCCACTTTACAGTCTAGGAGAAGGGAGCAAAGATGTCTTTTTAGCTCAGCCTACGGATGGAGTCCTGCTGTGGCTCTGTGAGTTAATACACTGGACTGCAAAGTCAGTTTGATCCGCAAGGTCGGTGTTTCAAGTACACCAGCCACTCCTCAGAAACACTATACAGTGTTGCTATGTGTCAGAAACGACTCAATGGCACTAACAACAGCAATAACAGGTGAGATACGTGTGGTGTCCTGGGTGTGCTTCTGAGTGTTCTAAGTGTCTTTACGTGTATTGTTTCAATGTTAGAACCTGCATTTCTGTTACATAATGAGGCTTTAAGATCGTCCTCCAGTGTACAGTTTTGGTTCATGGGCAAAGGACCAGTGTAACTGAGCAGGGCTGTATCCTCAGAAGAGTCTTGGGTTTAATGCTCCATGGTCGCCATCTTGAAAGTTTCCATTTCATCCTGGAATGTGCCTTCTGTAGGTAAATGGACAGTGGAGCAGATGCCGGAGTTTTGGTGAGCTCAGGCCAACTCTCCACTTCCCCTGGGGATGAGTTCACAGCTCCCTACTTCACAGTCCCTTGGTGCCCCAGGGCCAGCCATTCCCTACCTTGCCCTCTGCTTCTGGTGATGCTGGGAAGATCAGGGGCTGGTCTTTGTGTTCTTCATTTTAGGACCAGGCATGATAGAACCATCCCTGTCCCAAATTGGTAGTGCCACAACACACTGAGTGGTTAGCTGGGTGGGGGTGGGTCTCTCCCCAAATAGGTGCTGAGCTTGTCCCAGTATGAAGGTTTAAAGATTGGAGGGAAGGCTCTCCTGACTGACTTGACTGCCTTGTGGTTGGAACAGTAGACCCACGTATGAGAAGGAGAAGTATGTGGCTCATCTTCCCTGAGCACAGGTCTAGGGGATAGTGAGAAGGGGAACCCAGCTATTGTTAGGTCCATACAAGCTCCTCCCAAATCACAGGGTAGAGATATCAGGCGCCTGTAAGTGTCTATACTAGTCCTGCAAAGTAACCTATGCCTGAGAGAGAGCTTCCTTTGACAACTCAGCGCCTGTGGGGATTTGTGTTCACCAGTCTGCCAGCTTGAGACACTTTCTGAGAAAAGTGATGAAATACCAATTTTGCAATTTCAGTGAATCTGCGTACAGAATGTCACAACATAAAGATGAACAGTAAAATTCAAATTAATAAAGTCTTTTCTTCACTGAGGAAGACTTTAACTAGGAACTCACAACACGACAGGTTGAGAAAGGAAACAGCTCTACGTGTTAGCACCTTTAGCTGACCTTTGTCACTGCTTTTTGAACAAGGGACCCTACATTTTCATTTTGTAGTCAGTTCTGTATGTGTATGTGAAACATAAAGTCTAATCTGTGTCCGAGTGTTTTATTTATCAACAAAGAGTTT